GGCTGGGGCGCGCACAACCGCCGGCCTCTGACAAGGCCGCGCACGACGCTGGGATCTGACAGCGCTGCGTACAACCCCTGGCCTCTAACAGGGCCACGCACAACCCCCGGGCTCTGACACAGCCATGCACAACCGCTGGGCTCTGACACAGCCATGCACACCCCCGGGCCCTGATAGGGCCACGCACAACTGCTGGGCTCTGACAGGGCCGCGCACAACCGCTGGGCTCTGACACAGCCATGCACACCCCCGGGCCCTGATAGGGCCACGCACAACTGCTGGGCTCTGACAGGGCCGCGCACAACCGCTGGGCTCTGACACAGCCATGCACACCCCCGGGCCCTGATAGGGCCACGCACAACTGCTGGGCTCTGACAGGGCCGCGCACAACCGCTGGGCTCTGACACAGCCATGCACACCCCCGGGCCCTGATAGGGCCACGCACAACTGCTGGGCTCTGACAGGGCCGCGCACAACCCCTGGGCTCTGACAGGGCTGTTGGCTCTCCCTGTGCGCAGCACCTGGCACTGGGAGCCTTAGAGTAGCAGCTGGTGTCCTGCAAAGGAAAGTGCTGTGGTGACTCACCGAGGCCCACAGCAAAGGCCGCCCTGACCCCCGCTCAGCCCTTCTGCTGCCTCTAAGCCCATCAGGCTTGTAAAGATCACGATTGTATGGACAGAGTAGAGAGATGCACTCCATCATATCATCACACATCTATTTTAATGCATAGGAAGTCGATATCTTTAATCATTTTGCTTCCAAAAAGTAGCCTCATTCAGTTGTTCTGCGTTATTTCCCAGCCTGTATTTAGCCATTAGCCACGTGAGTTCTGCTGCTGACAGTGCTATGAGGAATCTTCTGGGCCGAGGCTTTTCTTGCAAGCTCCTGCCCTTGATAAATTCTGATTTCAGGCTAGAGATATTTGAGACACTTCTTGCTTACAGTCTTGTTTTTCTCCTCCTATATCTCCCTTATTTCATCTTTCCTGGAGAAGGTCTAGAGGAGGTGTTCCCATGATATTTCTGTTAGGCCACATATTTTTCTCATGTTTTATTTTTATTTTTACACAGTAACCACTCCACACTGCAGGATAGTAGGTAGAATCCACAATAATGCAAATATGGTGCTATCAAAGGTATACCGTTTAACTAAGCAAATCAGTCATTTTACTGTCTTCCTCTTACAGAGTTTTTATAGAGTTCTGCAGTTTTGAAGGGATTTGGGGTAATCACAGTTTTTTGTTTTGTTGCATTAGAGTCAAGTGAAATAAGTTGATGTTGACATGGGTAGTTTGTTTAGGTCTGATCACCTCAAAGCATTTAGTAATACACATAGCAGTAATTGTCCAAGATAAACACCAGGGAGAAAAATACAAAGAAGAAAAAAGATGCTAACACAAAGCCAAATTCCATGCTATTAGCATAGCTACCCCTGTTTATACCCACTGCAGATCAGACATGCAACCTTTATCATTTTAGATTATCATAAATTACAGATCCTATGTGGCAGCAGGTGTTAGGAGATGACACAAACACAGCAATTTCACTTTATTGTGTGTTGCTTCAGTTTGACCGTTTGCAGCATATTACAAAATGTCTTTCTTTTAACTTGTGTAGCCTGAAATAGAGCCATGGAACTTATGTTGGATTATATTTTAAGTATAGTACAGTAGAAAGCAGAGCTTTTAACTGACTGCTAAAATTCATTATGATCCTGTTCTTCCAAGTATCGTCTTACTGGTTTTTACTGTTACTTAGTACCAAATATCCACAGGAACTGCATATATCTTTCAATTTGAAAAACAAAGCAAAACAGGGATAGACTTTAAAAGTTTGATTACGGTTTATTTTTGTTGCATGTAATTTTCATTAAGGCTGGTTTATTCCAACAGTTGTAATAAGCATGGAAGATATCAAAGCTATTTCATGATTGCTGGGTCTCTTTGTCTCTGGTGATGGAGATGTCTTAATTACTGTCTGTTTTTGTAAATTTTAGGGATTACTCATCTTTTGATGCTAGATGACTCAGACCAACCATACATTTTCAAATCTTTGTGTTCAAAGGCTTGATGGAGTTGGGTTTTTAGATAGAAGATTTTGAAACATACTGCTTTTACCCATAGTTAATCTTTCAGCAAAAGCATTCTTACATGTCACAGCCAGCTCTTAATCTTTTTACACAGAGATCTGACACTTTTGGAAAACATCTTTAACGTGAACATTTTAGTTATTGCATCTTTTTCTGTACAACTTTTGTTTATTGGGTAAATGCAAATAGTCTTCAGATGCTGTTGACTGAAGAGGCAGTGACTAAAACGTGGATTTGAAATCCTGGCTCCATGAAGGCGGTGGCAGGTCTCCCATAGACTTTAATAAGACCAGGATTTCACTCTAGCTTCAGTTACTGTCATTCGTAGGTCCCTGGTAGTTTGTGTCCAAGAGTCAAAAGACTGTTTCTGGGAACAGGGAATGTGCCTTTTCACACAGAACGTGAATTTTTCCAGCCACCACGCTCATTTTGTGAGATTGTTGTTCCACTTTTGGAAGGACAAGGGAATGGTGTTTTCATAGTTTGAAGATGATTTGGAGCATTAAAAACCCCGCCAGACATACCAGTAAATCATTATGAGGAGAGTCTAGTGTAACTGTGAATGCTTTGGTTGGTTGGTAGTAACTGGCGATTTTGTTGTTATACTGATTGGACTTCATGGCTCTGTCATTTGATTTCTTCAGAGGGAACCAGCCTCTCCTCTCCTTCCTCTCTTTGCTCTTTCTCATTTGTATACAGTAATACATACCTCTGTTATGTGGTCTTGTTCACTGGGATAGACACTTTGCAGTCCCCTTTTGTCAAATGGCAGATTCATAATTAGTGGAATTGAAAAGCCATGATTTTGGTGCTGAGTCAGTCAGGTTGTCCTCACATTCAATGTCCTCCCCCCGCAATGTACTTCCCTTCTACATTGATTTCTTCAGATGCGAGACCGGCTTGTGGCCAGGGCTTCTCCAGCATGCTCCTTCCTCCAGCCTCACCTTGCCCTCTGGCATCCATCCTTAAGGAGGCCAGCGCCTGGGCACATAGTGGAACAGTGCCACTGGATAGATTGGAGAGGAGGAATGTACCTGCCAGCTATCTGCAATACAGCCAAAGGCTGAGTCCAGCCTGTGGGTGGTAGTTCCCTTGGCTCTAACATTGGTGCATGGAAGCTCTTGTAAACAAGTCGCAGGTTACTGCAAGAAGCTGGTAGGATTGAGAATGTTGCTTTCTAAGCTGATTTTCAGATTCCGGTTCTCTGAAGAATGGGCACTTTATGTTCAAAAGACTCTGAGAGCACCAATTTTTAAATTATAGAAGCTATTACAAACCAGCCCAACCTAATGCCTTTATTGTTAGCCTTCAGCTTAAGTATAGTGGTCAACATGTACAGAAAAGCATGCTAAGAGTGATAATCTACAGAACAAACAGTGATTTGAATACATATATTATTATTAGTAGTATGATTTATGTGAAAACTGAGTTGCTTAAAACTTCAAACCCACATGAAATTGTTTTATCTCTTAGGGGAAAAGAAAATTGTTTCAAATTGCTGAACTTGGATGAACAAATGTTTTGTGCAATAAATAGTTACACGATGCACAATTAAGATAAAGGGTGATTAGTATGCTAACATTTTATATGGGTTTGGCTTCATTCAAAAAATACAGGTATATATTTACCTGTCTTCAGTCCTGAACTATGTAATGTGCTTCAGTACATACCTCATCATATTTTATAGGTGGCAAAAGTGGAATATGTTAGAAAAAAGCCAAAATTAAAAGAAGTTCTGGTGAGATTAGAAGAGCATATGGAATGCACCTGTACATCATCAAATACTAATTCAGATTATAGAGAAGAAGAAACTGGTATGTTTTCCTTTTATTTTTGTATTAATGCTTATTTTGTGTGGACTTTGTTTTTATATTAGTAAAGAACATAAAGCAAACTTTGCTTCCAGTGAACTCAGTGGAAAAGCTCCCAGCTACTTCTCTGTATGTTGAAGATGCAAAATTGAGGGAGGATTGTGCTGGATAAAGAGTTTGGATTAAAGTTTAAATTGTGACAGTTCTCATCAGGTTAGCCTTTAAATAAAAGTAAATGCCCAATATTATTCAAGTCTTGCTTAACCAAGTTAAAGGTTGTCCTGTTGCAGTGTATTGGTAGACTCTATTGCCTAATTTCTTTGACTTTACTGTAGAGACAGGCTTAAGGCTGAGATTTACTTGACCTTGGGGAAAATAGCCTTGAAATGAATATAAAGTGCTGAGGAAAAATTTCTGTATTCAGAAGTAAGGAGTTTTGAAACAATGCCTGTTGGCAAGAGAGTTTTGAACAGTGCCTGTTCCCTTTGTCTTCCTACTCATATATAGGCCAGAATTTACTGTCAGTTGTCACATTAAACATGTTTACCTTATCAAGACGGTATTTAAATTACCACAGGGAAAGATTTATGGGGAAGAATGCTTATTTTCAATGTGACTTTCATAAAACTACCTACAATCTCTGGCTCACATCTTCATCCTAGGGTGCAATCAATGCAGGACTTGAGAGAGATTCTGGAAAAGCACTATGGTAGAAAGTACTCCTCCCTTTCTCCTGATTTTGACTGAAGGCAGACTCAAAAGCTTGCTTTCACCAATATCAGGCATTTAGGGAGGCAGTAGATCCAGCCCCAGAATAAAAGTCAGTGTAGAACAGGTGAATATAGGAGGAAGGCTGCCCGAAGGTGATAGATTTCATAGGTGACTAGGTAAGGAAGAATTTTTTTACGGTCTCCATCTTGCATGGATATATAAATCTGGTTTAAGCAAACGTAAACCACAATTGCTACATACAGAGCAGAAATATTATAATTTGTGTAAAAGCAAAGTTATGCCTCTGCTGTGATTCTTACCAGACATCAGTTTATAATCCAAGCTGAGTGTTTTACCTCAAGCTAGGCTGAATTATGAGTAGACAAAAACACATTGAAAGTGATACTTTTTGTGTGTATGGTTTGATATCTTTTCTATGTCTTGTATTTGGAAAAAAGTTTCACGAGATCAATTTTAGTTTTTCAAAATATCTTTAATGGCTAAAGGCTAAGCAGTTAAGAATTTAAGCTGAAAACTTTTCTTCCTGGTGTGTGTGAAAAATGGAGTAGAAATGATTGTAATGAAAGAATACAGTTTTCTGGGATTTAATTATTGATAGGAACAGCACTTGCACCAGCAAATGGATGGTGAGCTGAAAATAGCTAAACTGTAGAGCTGAAAGCAAATATTGAATACAGCATGGTAAGAGTATTTATGGATGGATCTTGGAAATGATATATGCAATGCCAACTTTGTTTATTATTTTGTTACTTTTGTATAATTACTTTGTAAACTGAATGTCAAATCAGAAGTTATAAAGTTATTACTTTAATGCAAAGGGTAATGAGGTTTCTTTGAAATGTAAACGGTTTGAGTATTTATTACTTCAGTGTTCAACGAAATGCATTACCTTAGGGCTTTTTACCAGCCCTGCCCTTATGTTAACAGGAAGGCCTAGGGAATCAGGTAAAAAACGGAAACGAAAAAAGTTAAAACCAACATAAAACCTACTGGAACTATTTGATATTCAGGTAGGACCTATATGCTGAACACCCTAATAGCACAAGTAATGGAAAACTTAATCAAATATCATCACTTCAACTTAATCACTGTTCAAAATCTTGACACTTGCTACCTCAAGGCTGCAAAGAGATTAGATTTGATTGGCTTTGATAATTCTACCTGCTGGTATTTTTTCTTTAAGCTCCACATCACCATCAGCATCTTACATTCTTGAGCTACTTCCTTTTCTTGCTTTTTTTTTCTTTTTTTTGGAGGGCGCTAATACTTCAGCTTCTGAAATCTCAAGTTCCATTGCCTCTGCTTTTGTTTCATTATTATTGATTTCTGAGGTCAAAGCATCACATAATAATGCATGAATTAATTGCCAGGTTACAAATCATTGTGTTCCCAGTCATTGGCTGTAAAACATTGAGTGTACATATGGTAAATATTATATGCATGACCATCAAACCCTTGTTTTGGCATGAACTGGGATTGATGTTACGTGCACCTGAAATGATCTGACAATCTGCATACCAAACAAGGAAGATGCTCAGAGATACCATTTTTGTGTAGCAGGCTTTGTGTAATTTATACCAGAAAACTAAGATCTTTCTTTGCTTTGTTCAGTCTCAGTAAGATGATGACAGTCATCAAGATTAAAGAGGTTTTCAGGGTAGTGAAAAACTAATACCCTCGTAATGCAAAAATGACTAAAATCCTTGCGCAGCAATTTAGCAATGTATGATGATGGCGATACACCTTCCAAATCAAGTATGGAGTTTCCATTTCTTAATGACCAGAAATTATGTAAGCTACAGCACTTGCAGTTCATTCTAGTATTTGGAGCGGGAATGATTTGGATTTTGTAGTGTATGTGCCTAACTCCTGGATGATGGTGAATTTAATTTCAAGCACCTGTTTTTGCACATAAACTCCCAATGGCAGTTTGCATTTATACTAATGTATTTTTTTCTAAAGAATGCTAAACTTGGTATCCTGTTTCAGATTAACAGGTATTTATTGGGAGTAGTATGATAGAAGCAAAGATTTTGTAAAATTCAACTTTAAAAGTGAGCATGTAAACTCAATCAAAACAGCATTTAGAACTTCTTGTCCCAGGTTAGTGACTCTTCATGCAGAACAGTTTTTTTTAAAGTCATCTGCTTAGAGGATAGGACCTTTGATTCTAATCATAGAGTTATTGTATCTTTTTTCTCTCCTGCAGATGTAAGGTGAAAATAAGCTAGAAAAAAAACTTCTCTCTGGGACATGGATGTACATGGTTTGTTACATTCCTGAACCTACTATGTATGGTGCTTATTGACTGTATATTTTATTTGTTCTCCTATGTGAAAAAACTGGCTCACAAGAACACTTAATGAGAACAAAGAGACAATGTACATTTGTTTAATGTGACATCAAAGCAAGTATTGTAGCACTCTGTGAAACAATAGGAAGCTTCCCTGTCCAAAAAAGAAAAAAAATGAAAGAAAAAAACTGAAAAGAAAAAAAAGACAGTTGAATGAATGGAGGATACCAAAAGTACTCAGAAACATGACAAAAATCTAAGTGAATAGTGGATTTCTGTCAGAGCAGTCAACGGTGCTTTACGTCAAGAAATGTGCCTGTGTTCTTGATGAAGATGGATGGATGTTTATGGACTTCAGGCACAAAAAAAGCAGGAAAATGATCAAATGCCACGCAAACACTATAGAACAATACATCCTTGCTTGGTGGTGTTTTAAAAGTCTATACAAAAAAAAAAAAACCTTCTGGGGAGCCTTAAGTGGATTTTTTTTTTTTTTACACCATAAAGTGATTATTAAGTTTTCTTTTTACTCTTTGCCTAGCTTTTTATTATCTCTTGGACTACATTTGCCAATAACACATATAAAAGACTGGTATAACAATAGCAGAACAGAAAACATTATGGTATTTCTCCTAGTGGGATGCAAACTAATGAGATGTATTAAAATAAAAATGGTATACCTATGCATAATTTTCTAGACGTTTCTTGGTTTATGTTCCCCAACCTCCCCCGTAATTTAAAGCATTACATAAAAAGAAAAAGAAAAAGAAAAAAAGAGAGATGTGCGTAAACAAATCATAGGAAATCCTTGCAAAAATCCTTCTTTTTCCTTTAAGACTTATGCCAGTTGCCTACTAGTGATATTGTGTTAGCAATTGTCATTCTTATCAGTATACAGATACTTTTGTTTCACATGTTGGAGCTGTGTGAAATGTACAAATTCTTGTATCTGCATTGTACAATGTCATGGTGGCATGGGAACTACCTTGCTGCAAATATTTGAACAAAACCTAAAATTCTTTATTTTTGGTAAAATGTTATGCTTTATGTGTATTCAACAGAAATATGTGTTTTTGTAAAGGTGAAGTTTGTATTTTTATCTAAAAATTAACAGTTTTATATACCTGAGAAAGCCTGCTATGTTTTCTTGAACCAAAAAAAAAAAAAAAGAAAAAAGAAAAAAAACATTTTGTGGTCATATTTTTGTAGTAGAATAGCCCAAATTACATCAAAAACTATTTTAACTATAGCAGGGCAGATAAAATACTCTGGCACCAGCTCCTATATTTTCGAAGTGCCAAAGGATTAAATGTTCAGCTCCCCATGGATTGCAATGGGAGCCACATGGCTAAATCCTTGTCTACTGCTTTGGAAATTTAGGGCTGTGCCAGATATGACATGGCTACTTACTTGGCCAAAATCACTGCCCCACCCCAGCAGTTTGGATTAAGTACCCTTTGTTTTATTTGGAGTATCACATTGGATACGTAAAATGAACTACTGGATTCTTTTATTTGTAAAACATCTACAAAGAGATGAAAGAGTTTTCTCTCCTTTCTTTGGAATGATGAAAAAGTTCGTCTTGAAGACAGTGTTTCCACTCAAACCAAAAATATCTTCAGATGTGAATGAGCTGCAGATCCTTAAAACATAACAGAAAAGAGTGAGATTTTTAACCTTTCAATTTCTTTAAATATAGTTCAAACATTCCCCTCCTGTTCCTGTAGCCATGTCCAATTTCAACCAAACGAAGCAATGTTAGCTAACAGGCATTATTGGCTTCAGATGCTAATGCAGAGATAGAGTTAGTCACCGTTCTATTTTGTGATCATTTTCCCAGTGTATTCGTTGAGCACCAAAACTGGAAATACATTTAACTAAGATTGTCTGTGCTTGTTTTCCACTAAGTGTACTGTTCACAATGTTATGCACATGAATGTATGTGTCTGCGTTTAAAAAAGTGTGTAAAATGTAATTTATATATTTATGTTTCAGTGGGATGCCAATAATGTTGCTCAGTTCTTTTTTTGTCTAAAAGATATCTAATGAAAAAGGTTCATATATGCATTAAAATCATGTAGTTAAAAAACGTTATGTGACCCACTCAGACACTGTGCAGGTATGAAAAGATGTCAAAGTCACTTAAGTGGAATAATTTGCAAAAGAATTGTCAAAAGTCCTGTAGTTGCACTGGCATAAGAAGGTTGCATTCAGATCTATGGGCCAGATTTCCTGGAGTAACTCCATTGAATATAATGGAGCTCTGCTGAATTACACCACCATTGAGTCTGGCCCTATATTTAATTCCTGAAAAAAAAGCAAACTGAAAGGCATGCATTTTATTGGTGCCAGCAAATAAACGTGCTATGCCAAATTCAGAAAACCATGAGAGAATGAAGACTGAATGGAGACTTTTCCAGTAATCATTTGTTTGAGACTTGTAGTCTCTAGTTAATTTTGTTACCAGGAATGAAACGCACATGAGTCTTTGTTCTCAAGCACAGTGTTTATATGGCATGCAACAGAAAACAAAAATCTCAGGGCTATATTCTCAGCTAGTATAAATTGGCAAATATTTTTGACTTCAGCTGCCCCAAGCTAATTTACATCAGATGAGGATCCAGTCCACAGTTTTTAAAATACGAGGAGTAGCGTCATGACATGTGCGTCATTTGCTGTAGTCCAGCTGAGATTTTATCCGTCAGCCTTTTCGATCTTACAGGCCATGGTAGTAGTCCTTCTTTGAGATGGCAGATACAACCAGAAGGAGCAGTAACATTAAAGGTTGTGACAAAAGAGACAGTAATTCAAAGTTAAGTTGGACATTTCAAGGGCCATATCCTCAGTTGGTGTAAATCACCATCGCTCCATTGCCTGCAGTGGAGCTGTACCAGCTTACACCACTTGAGGGGCTGGTCCCTCATTCTTGCTCATCCCTTTCACTACTCGGTCCTGCAGGGATCTCAGACTGTCGTGTACTGTTAATGTAATCCTGTGTTCTCTAATACTTAAGCACAATAAGTGAATATAAGAATGAGTGTCAGACTTAACTTTGAATGTCCAAGCTCTGAAATGGTTTGTTTTACCATTGTGGCTGTAAATTAAACAGTTCTCTGTGCATTTGTGAATGCTGTGTCCTATCTTCTTCCGCTGTCTACTGGAGGTGGACTCCCATCTGGACTTTTAACGTGCAACATTTGTAGTGTTACAGGAAAGGGTGTGCGCAATAGGAGCCTCAAGATATCTGTTTGACAGCTCTGTTATTTGGGAAGTGGAGGGCTAGTGGGGGGCTTAGTGAAGGAATTGAAGATGATAGTTGCTGTAAGTCACGTTTCCACTGAATCCTTTAACACTTTGTTGTTTTGTCCTTGGACATTCCAGGGAGTTGGGGGTAAAATGTTTTTCTGTTTAACATTCTGTAATCTCTTCCACTGTCCACAGATTCAGAAACTGTTGGTCTGATTTTATCCTTTTTGAAGTCTTTTCTGGTTAAAAAGCATGTGTGGAGGGAACTATCTGAAAACAATCTCAGTGTTACGATACTGGTGCATGATCACTGATGCTGTAGTCAGTTCATTATGTTTAATTCTGTGCTTCGTCTTTCCAGAGCTGCCCTTCAGTGGCTTTTGTTGAGTGAAATGAAGGATTGCCTGCTCATTTGCTTTCCTTTTCTTCTCTCCTCCGTCCCTCTTGGCGTCTGCTTTATGCGCAGTGACTACAGACAGTTGCTCCTCTCAGGCTCCCAGTGGTTCCTAGACAGGTTCAGCTCTAATGTGTCTTTGAGCTTAGGCTTTCTACTCTGCTTGGACCAGCATCTGACAGGTCTCCTCCCTCCGACGGGCATCAGCATTCCAGCTGGGAAGTTCTCGCTGTCCTGCTTGGGTCGGCAGCATGTCTCCTGCTGTGGTCTATATTCCAGCTATTCTCTGCCTGACTGTAGGGAAGCCCAGACTTTCCCATTCCTCTGTCTCTATCTCTCAGAAACGATTTCCCTTCCTAGGTTCTTTCTCATCATATATCTCTTCTCTCTTCTCCTGCCCGAGAGAACAGCCTTTGATCTGTTTATCTGTAAATCAATTGCTTTATCTAGGCATGCGTCCTGAGATCCTGTCTCCCAGGCTTACAGGCCCATAACTGACCCCTACATGAAAGACAAATGCTGTTATATAGGCATGCGCTTGAGGAGGGAAAAGGATTCATCTTTGCGTTTGGAAAAATGTCCATTACTGAAAGCTCCCTGCTAAAGCCCTGTCCAATTCCAGTAGCAGTAGCGTGTATGTGGAAGAGTGGTATTGAAGCTATTCCAGACATCTGCCAGTTCAACTAAGATCAGCAACCCTGTTTATAATTTAATTAGAAAATGTGCCCAAAAGCAAAGATGAATTTTCAAAGCTTCCTCAGATTTGGATGCTCGTATTTTACTGTAAATTGAAGGAAATCGTGTTTGTAGGCCCCCTTCATGGCTTTGAAAGTCTTATCCTGAATATTTATCTGATCCTCTCTTGGGCTGGAAATCTTAGTTGCTTTAAAACAAGCAGAGAAGCAAAGTGGAGTTACATATTTGTTTTCAAGGAAGTCATTTTCCTGGGGTTTCTACTCCTCAGCTTCTAGTACTACCAGTTCTCAGAAACATAATCACGTAAAAATCGGTGAAACCCATGAGGACCCCACTTAAGTTTGCTTTAATTTCAGGTAACAGGGAGAAGCTGTCAGTGTTTTATTCTCAGAACTTCAGCTTAAACCTTGCATTTTTTATTTTACTTAATTACTGTGTGTTTTCCCACAATTTAATAACAAGGTTTTATTTATGTCTGAGCTTTTCTGTGCTGCTCTTTGCTGTAGTGTCTCAGTGCAGCACAGCCTTGAACAGGTTTGAACTCCTATCCCCTCTGAAATAAAGAACTATTGTTATCCCATTTTAGGCGAGACCGAGGCATGGAGAAATGACTGTGCAAGGTCACACAACAAGGCTATGGCAGAACCAGGGATAGGACTCAGATCTGAGTGCTCATCCAGTGCCCTAAATCACACGACCATCTTCCCTTTCCAAGAATGAATCCTTGCACCCTTAGAGCTAAATACTGAAAAGATTGAGGGTAAGTCATTTTGCCTAATTATTGTGCATTGGATACATGGTCAAAAACCACTGCCATATCTTCAGAGAATGTAGTGACTGATGAAAAACCAGCTGTCTGCCCATGCAAATATGCTGTCTCTTATGCTATCATCAGCTAGTCATTTCCTGTATCTCTAAGGAATCAACCTTTCGTGACTTACAGTGACAATTATGCACACAGAACAAATGCAAACTCGGATTTTATGGGAATTTACAAAAATTCAGTGAGCAATTTTCATTGTACTTCCCCTCAGTTTGTAGTCGTTCATTCCTTTTATGGCATGGGTAACATGTCCTAAGGGATCTGTGTCTATCATGGGCCCAATCCCAAATTCTTTTCCCAGGCCCTAGCGCAGAAAAGCACTGAAAGAGGTGCCTACATCTGCCCTTCTTCATACCTGTGCCTAAGCATATTTGTGACTTTGGACGAACATCCCATTGACTTCAGGCAATTGGAGCTAAGTTGATGCTTTATCACTCTTTTTGAATAGGGCTTTCCTGACTCAGGATCACAATTCCAGGATGGGGGTCTTTGTGTTCTTAAAGTGTTGGAATATGTTGTAAATAACCCCAAAGAAGAAGTAACAAGACTCAAATATACAACTAGAAAAACAGATGGGAGACTTCCCCTCTCTCCTGCTCTCACAGAGGTTGCCATTTTGAAATATGCATTTGCTCTTATTTGAAAAAGTAGTTTTCTGACATGGCTGGATTCAGGACTGCAATTACTAATGACAGAGATTCCATTTAAGATGATCTGTTAAGGTACATCAGAAAACATAATTTGAAAATTCACTGTCATTTCTAACACAAAGATGAATCTGAGATGGGAAAAAATAATCAGATCAAATTGAAATTTGGGACGTTGTGGTTTAGAAAAAAAAAGAAAGAATGAAATAGAAAATAAAGTGAGTAAGATCAGAAGGTTGGTCATTTTCAGTATTATCATTCCTTTACTCACTCTATTTGCTGCATCAGGCTGAATTACTTTCTGGAGTAGCTCAGAATCACTACAATGCATGTAAAAAGTTATGGCTGGTTGTTGTTGAACTGCTACCCTATTATCATGGCATATGACTGTGAGGTGGGGCCTGCAATCACAGTTGTAAATCAAAGAACAAGTCATAGGTTAGGAACTGTTTTCCATGGATATTGTCTCTAAGTTTATTATCTGTATGCTAGTCTCTTGAATGATGTTTAGTGAGCTTTTCAGTTTGGTATAAAGTCAAAAATACATGGTTCCTGAGCTGATATTATGAAAGTCGTAACTCTTAGTCTTGTAATCAATAGATGAAACCCTGCCAACATTCTAGTGACGTACTTTTCTGTCATGAAAGGTTTCTGTGTCACTCTCTTGCAGTGTTATTTCTTAGCTTAGAGGGGAATCCACTCGTTTTTATATTTGATTGATTAGCAAGCCATCAAATCTGACCTGGTTTGAATTTTTCCCATCTAAAATTTTCTTATTGGACTGACCTTTGTGCATGCTAAGTGTTTTTCAAGATCTAGGTAAAATATATAAGGAGAGGCTAACTTCTGCTCTTTAACAGAAAACAAATATGAAAGCTGGAGTATTCCATCACCTGGGGAAATAAGGAGCTAAGTTTTAAAGAAGAGTTGCACATTCGTCTTCCCAGGATCAAGCATCTACCTAGTATCTCAGCCTCTACACAGTATCTTTAATCTTCCGTAATCAATGCAACCGGTTTTACTGTCCATATTTGAAAAATGAGAGTGTCTGTTAAGGTCAGGTAGACAAAGAATATAAGCACCCAGAGATGCAGATGAGCCCATACTGCTTGGAATCCCCTGGGATTTTAAAAACATCTTGATTCTTGAGAGCAAACAGAAATTAATAGAAGAAAAGTGCTAAGACATCTTTGCTTATCTGGCAAGCGAAAAAATATCTGAGAAGTATCCTACATATAATGATCATTCAGTGACAAAGTAGCTGTTCATGAAAAATGCTTGTGCTTAAATCTTTCAACAGTTAATGATCATCTTTACAGATCGTAATACTTGAATGCTTCACTTATCGATATATCAGGGCTTGGATGAACTTTGAGACTTATGAAATGGGACACTCCTTAGGCCAATGATAGCCATATGTTCTAGTAACTGATCAACCAATTACATAAATGGCCAGATCTCTAACCTGCAGAAATACATACAACTCTGTTGACTTCACTGGAGATGACAGTTACCTGAGAATTGACCCGAAACTCTTGACACAAAGCAGATAATGGTTTCATATTTTGCTGTTTAGTGTTGCTGTAAAAATAGACTCATTTCCTGGAGCGGTTAAAACAAGAAAAGCTGGAAAAGCAGTTTCCCACAGAGACTCATCCACACTGGAATTTGCTGAGATCCCCGGATGAACATGTGCTGTTAGAAAACATAAAACAGCAACTTTGTTTAGGGAAGCCTCTGACCTGTTAAAAATGCAAAGCATTCATTACCAGACTTTTCCTTGGCAATTAGCGGGTAGAATTACTCATAGAAATTGGTTTGTTTGCTCACAAGGGGAGAAGCAAGACATAAATTCAAGATATCCCATGTTTCACCACGAGAAAGAAGACTCAGTTCACAGAGGGTCTGTGGGTGAGGCACTGAGCAGCCTCAGCTCCCTTTGGGATGAACTCAGACTTGGAGACCTCAGTGAAGTATCAAGAGCCCTCCAAAGTTGCTGGATTTCTCTGACTGTGAATTTTTTCAGCCGCTTAAGGGATTTGGGCATCCATTTTTAATTCGTTTTTACAGGTCTTTTAGTTGGCTTAGTTGGCCTCAAAACCCCTCTGTCTCTGCTATGTAGAGGGCTAGTTTTGATCAAGTCGATGTCACTGTGAATGTTGCTGTTCTTCCCCTAGGTAGCGGCACTCAAGCATCAAGTTTGTTTTCTGCTCTTAGTTGAAGATATTTCTCAGCAGTGACTTTTCCAGCACTGTTGTGTGCTCAGCTCACTGCAGGACAGCCTGATATTTCGGTGGAGCATCCTCCCTGCTCCAGCCATGCTTCACCTCTTTCTTTGTGCTGTTTCTTATATAAAGATGGTGCTGGTTTAAGCTGAAGATCAAGGATGATATACAAAGCTAGATTTTCTGCTATGGCCTCTGTCCCATGGGAACCTCATGCCCAGCTGTGCCTGCTGTGTGGGGCCAGAGGAAGAGAGAGAGAGAGGCTGCAGCACTTCAGGGAAGCCGAGATGTGTCTCCTTCTGCTCAAGTGGTCATGCCCGAAGATACAACCTTCCTGGCTGCATCAAGCACTGCAGTTTCCTCCTTTCCCCTTGCCTTGAGGGCACATGTTTCCCTGATGCTGACATGTCCCTTGTGCCTGGGAGGGTCTTGTGCTGCAACATATGATAGAGGTGTCTACTAGGCAGGAAGATTCCCATGGGAACTAGGGGCTGTATGCCTCTGTATTTGGGAGTGAAGACCCTTTTTGGTCCAAAGTCACCGACAGTAAAATAACCTGGTCAGACGTCTTCTTGGAGCCAGGAAGCTACTCAGATGACCTCAAGATCTGAATTCTTCCTTGACTGCAATGGGTTTCCACAGCATAATAAGTGACAGAAACAGTTTATCACAGATCGAGTGGTTTCTTAACAGGCTGTGTATGCGTCTTGTAGGGTAAAGCTCAGCTGTGCATTGTATCTATTGCCCCAAATGCTGCTTTTAAATCAAATTTTCACTATTTATTCAGGGATATCTGTTTTTCTTGCATGTGCTTTAGAAGGGTTACCTTGCACCTGTTTGCTGTGATGAATCTGCTAGCCAAACCAATATGGCTAGGCTATCTCTGCATATCTAATGGAGGTTTCAGAACCTTACACCTGGGGTTAGCAAATGCAAATGTTTCCCATTATCTCCCTGCGTTCCCCTAAGTTGTGATTCAGCGAGATGCTCAGTTAAAAGTTGCACTTGAAGCATGTGAAATGCTTCTTTGAAGATACTCATGCTGAAAGTTAGGCATGTTCTGAATTGGCTTGCTAAAAATGAGGCCCTGAAGAGCCTACTGTGGTAACAAAGTGTAAGCTTAGTGTTTTCCTTTTGTGCAGTGCCTGGAGAGATGCTAATTTCAGAAGCAGTCTGCAACCTTTCAAAAACTATTCCATAGTATTGAGGGAGAGCTTTAACTGTTCAGTAGCTTTCTATCAACAAGCTCAGCTACGTTAGAAAGCCCATAGCAATGTCTGCCCTCTCTGGGCCGCTAAGATCTCTTCCTTCCTTGTTTTCTTTAGTAGGTTTCTTTTTTAAGGCTAGTGAAAAAAAAGCTTAAAATAATACCTTAAAAAGGTGGGAAATTAAGCAAAAATTGAGCAAATCGCATCATCTTAATTCCTTTATCTAGCTTAATTAAGGAGAAGTTTGCCAATACTGAAGAACATATGTGAAGAACACTTTGAGCAGCTTCAAAAGAATTTTCAGGCTAGATCAGGAAAAGATAAAAGCAGAAGTGGAAACTTCTAATACACTTTATAGCTCATTACTTACAGGAAATGCATTGTTACATAGGATTCTAATGAATTTTGCAGGATGAAGTTTCCAAAAACAAAACAAAAAAAGGTACCTTCTGTATCTTAGATGAAAGGTCTCAGGACTTTTGCAATTATGGTAGCTGGGCAGTGGAAGTGTTTAGTCATATCACCCAGAAAGATTCAACCTCTGGGAAAAGTCAAAAGCTTTTTTTAAATTTGAAATGTGTACACTATTTAATTTCTGTAGGAACTTCCTGGTCTAGCTGCTGAATAGTGATAAAGGGAATGGTAGAAGTCCCTTTTGTTTTCAGTATTTAAGTTATTTTTGCTTCTATACCAAGGAAGGCAGAGATAGTGCACTGCATATATCTAGTTGTAGGTAGAACAGCAGGAACACATTTGAATGACTAAGGATGAACACATTAAAGTTTTTGCCGATGTTCTCAATGAGGTGGTGAAGCCAGCAAAGTCAGAGAAACAAAATGGAAACTCAGATTTACCAGTGACACTTGCCCAGAAAATCAATATTTGCCAGACTCTTAATTAACTTGATTGAAAAGCTAATCCTAAAATCCTGTTGCTGGACAAGGGCCTGAACCCCAGGCTACTGGATTTAGTGCTAGTGAGTAGATGCTCCTCTAGAGCAGTGATGTTGTGAAACTGAAATATTTCACATTTGTAGAGCACCCAGAGAGCCTATGGATGGCAAGCAACAATTTTCTATTATGTAAAGAGTTCCCTGGCATAAACAAATCCCTCAGCAGAGACTAGAGAGCTGAGGGTTGTGCCGCAGCTCTGCTATGGTTATAAGTCCAGAGGTGGTGTGCCCAGATTAGCACCAGCCGGTGTGGGGGGTGCATCTCCATCATGTGCAGGGCATTGCACACATGCAGCTTACCTTGCTGTCCTCTGACATGTGGGATATATCCGCTGTCAGCTCTTGTATTTCACTCAGATTGTAAGGACAGCTTTGCTGTATGTTTGGACGCATTTCAGGCAGCAAGGCATTTGCGTCAGCTCTGAAGCACATGGGTAGCAAAGCTTGGGCATTTGTGCTGGGATGGTTTTGGGGGCTGACAAACTTCATTCTTCTGCACTGTCATTTAGGAATCCGTTGATATGTAAAAAAGGTTTAGGGGTTTAAAGCATCGTATCAGGACTTCAGAGGTCCTCATTCAGACTTCCGATGTGGCTATGCATGAGTCAGTTAGGACCTCTTTGCCTGACTCCTTCATTTGGGAAGAAAAATAATACTTTATTTTACCATCCACTAGCCTGTTTTATGTATGCTGTGTGTGTACACATACAGTACCTCACACAGTGGAGTCCTGATTTGTAGGCTATACTTGCCACTGTAGTACAAAAAGCATAATAATTCCAACCATAAATTGAATGGCTGTTTCTTTTAGAAATTCATGGAGAGAAACTGGGGAGAACTGATAAATACATATATATCACTTCTCCTCTGAATCCAAGCACCATCACTAAGCACAATTCTCTGTGGATCAGCACACATGTCATTGAGAGAATTTTTGCTTAAATGCAGTCAAGAGACTTAAAAAAATCAGTTTAGTTGCTCTTTGGTATCTTTAGGCATCCAGATATCTCTATACTTGCAGCCACTGGAAAGCTGTCTTCCCGCAAATCAAGAACCATTTGGCCTTACAAAAGTTTCTTCTCATTTTGAAAGTCAGGTTTGGGCTCTTAAGTCACTAAACTGCTTTGCGAAGTTGTGTCTGTCTTTCTCTTTCCGTATAAATCAACCTGCTTGACGTGAACTGAATGTTTAGATAATAAACAGCTAAAGGACAGTCTGATTGCTTCTTTCTGAGTGTTTCCCTTATGGAGCGCTTGGAGTCACACGGCATCTGCTATGACCTCAAGTACCTGCTTTCTGGAGGCTTTTTTAAGATGCTAACAAACCCCTCATTTTAACTAGCCATCAAATAAACCAGTCAGTGGTAACTATTTAGGACCGGGATTAGAAGGGTATTCTTACTGGGATACAAGATGGCTCTGTCCATGCACTGGCCAGGGATGAAGGGCTGGAAAACTGTGTGGTGGAAGAGACTATTAATGTGATTTTCCACAACTTTCATTGCAGCTGCATTTTTGAGGAGAAAGAGAGAGAGAAAGAGATGGCTAGGCTTGCAGTAACATGTTGTGCCGTCATAAATGCTACAGCCACCATCTGTTTCCAGCCCACGACTTGAAAGAAAACTGAACAGCAATCTCATAATTCACATGAGCATTTTACACTTGTGAACCCTTCCAAACCTTTGTCTAATAATGAGGGGAGTGCATGGTGCTAAGGTTTGTATTTTTTCCTGCACGTACTAGTGTTTATTTGTATGTCTCTTTCTGTTTATTTTTATTTTTTTTCTGTGGGCCCTTAAAAAATTTTCTGGGAGAAAAAGAAGACCAGTTTCATGGTCAAAAGAAACACAGCAAAGGAGAAATCCTGATTCCATTGACCTTGCTGGCAAAATTCTCTGGGAGGAGGTGTATTTAACATTCTTTGTTGTGTCTGTCTTAGTTACTTGTTGATTAAAAGAAAGAAGTGCATTAGAAAGTGAAGAGGCAGGGGGCTGAACGGCCCTTTCCCTACAGAAAGGCTAATGCTGAGTACAGCTAGAATAGCTGGACATGCGCATTTTAAATCTGCACCATCAGATAGGATGGTAATGGTAGGTTGGATTTTAATGAAAACAAATTCTTCTGCTAATCTTGGCTTCGGGCTGGCCCTCCGTGGGATTAAAGATACCACCTGCTGTGCCAAAGACATGCTCAGGTTCGAAGCTGCTAGTGGGTGGGAAGAATACAAACATCTGAGAGTGACTTCTGTGAGCGATCGCAGTCTGTCCTCTTGCAATGGCCTCAGGGAAGCCAAAGAGTCGAGATCATTTAGTTGATGGAAATACTGCTCCCCTCCAACCTGCAAAACAAGGCTAACATCATTAAGGATTTCTTTTTGACTGTTCAGCAAAACCAAGGGCTGCTGTTTCTCTGGGCCTCTTGTGCTTGGACCCAATTTGTACGGCTCCTCCTAGCACAACCAAACTGGCTGAATGAACTCCTGGTCTCCTCTGGCCTTAGAAGCAATGACTTTCATCATCTCGACTGGACTGCAGAGCAGTGTAAGGATGAAAGGGCTTCTCATTTCATATACCCCACTGCTGCTAGAACTGTAAGTCCTTGTAACGCAGGACTGTGTTTATAACAAACTGCTACTGCAGGCAAGTAACATATATTGTGCTGTCATGTGTATGGTCAAACTGTCCAAGAAGTTGCCAAACAAAGAATGAAGCTTCTGATGGAAAACCAATTCAATCTCTACTTCTCATTTTATTTAAAAATAATAAATAACTATCAATCAAAGGGACTGATTTTGACATGTGCTACCTGTCGGGTGATCCTCAGTATCTCCAAGATGTGTCCGTAAGCGGAAGAAAGTTGCCAGCTGTTGCCAGGCCCAGCAGATATGACGTGAAGTTCCAACAAGAAAAGGTTTGTAGGCTCACTAGGTTTGGGGACAGGGTAAGGGGGTAGATCCAACCACTCCCTTTTTAGCACCACTTGCTGTTCTGGCTACATCCAGTGACGTGACAAGGGTCCACCCCCTTAGCTGCTCACCTTTTTGATACCCTCCTCCACAGAGGGGACGCATCCAGCCACGTTCACCTCTGCTGGAATCACTAACAGAGCTTCATTGACCTCTGTTGGTCAGTGGTCCTCCTTCTGTCTTCCGCTTTGATCAAAGATGAATTGTTAGTGAATCTTTGGGGTCTAGAAAGTCAGCTCGTGTCTATTTTGGTGCCTCCTAATGGTTGATGTGCTAAGAAGGCAATAGTAGCAACTAGTGGTAGGTGGTGGTCTGAGTCACGTATATTTCTGTATCGTTTTCTTCTGGAGCAAATGAGCCTGAGAAGTTACCTTATTTTTATGTTTTACCCAGGCTAATTATTTGTAGGGTGCTGGGAGCTGTTGGATTAAACAGCCTTTTCCCACTTACTCCTGTAATCCTGCCCGATCCATATCCTGCTGCCTCCCACCCCCTTATCTGTAGCTCCCAGCCACATCCCGAAGGGTCTGTGCTGGACACCTGCTGGCAGGAGACTTCTCCCCATTCTCCCCACCGGTATCCGTGGAGTTACAAGCAACTTTCCCGCTGCTTGTTTTGGTGTGAGAGGGAAAGCGAAGGAGAGAGGGGGCACACGAAGGGCAATGGCAGAGGCGGCCTGACACAAAATTCCCAGGAATGGGATTTGCACATTTTATGACCGTTCAGATGGAAATGCAATGGAGCTGAATTATTACTCCTTAATCCTGCTTTCTCAGTTTCCTCCCCGCAACCTCCTCCCCTCACGCTTAGGTAATACAGAAGCTTATAAACAAATCCCACTGCGTGAAAAATAGTCAAGGGGGTGGGAAAAAGGACCTGGGTTAGGGCTGTGATGGATAGACAGGTGGAAGGCAGGCACCAGAAAGGAGGATGAATGGTAAAAGCCTTTGATGGAAACACTAAAGAGCTATTGAAAATCCAGGGGCTGGGGGAGGGAGGAGAAAGAATAGCAGGAGGAGGGAGAGCAAGGGAGCCCTGTCCCCCTCCCCCCCCGCCCTCTTTCTCAGGATGTTGAAAGTATTTGTCCTTCGTTACAAAATGATTGAACTGCCGCCAGGCCAGGCCACCCTTCCAGCCATTGCACTGGGAAATTGGCACTTCTGAAAGCCTCGTCGCCTCTCAAATTTTATAGCTTTCCCTTTTGTGGGAGTTTTTTGTTTTGTTTTGTGCTACTTGCGAGATTGTTTTCAGTTTTGCTGCGTATCAAAGGAACTCTGTTTTGTTGCTCCGACAAATGCAGAATCCAGGTAATGAAAGGGAGAATTAAAAAATAAAGGTCCGTTTTTTATCAGAATACCCAGCTGTCTGCCTATTATTGCATCAAAATTTCACGCATTCCGTATTCATGATGTTGCATTAATATTCCCTTGGTTTATCTCTAGTACTTCTCGAAGAATTTCATCCCGTAAATAAAGCTTCTACTTTCTTGAAGGCTCTGTATGTACAAAACCAGTGCCTGTTCTTCATAGTCTTGCAAAATGAAAATGATCCTGTTATAAGTAAAATAGCTTTTACATCAGACAAATGCATGCAACAATGGAAAAAGATGATCTTTCCACCTTTCACAATGGTCCTTGACCTTCTAGGGTCTCCTCTATTGGTCCTGTGAGATCTAGATATGGGATCTACTCAGGGAATCTACTGCAGTCAGAGTGGGTCGCGAGTTGGTGCCAGGGTCTGGCCTGGGCAGCAGGGCCCTGGCTGCTGGCGTGTAGGTACCCACTGCATACCATCTGCTCTGAGGGTGCATCGGCTCCCCTCCCATCAGCTGCATCGCCCTCAGCTCCTCCTAAAGGTCTCCAGCATTGCCTCCAAGATTAGACCTTGGGGTTAGGTCTCTGCTGGGCTGGCTGTACCGTATAATTAAAATAGCTCTAGGAGAGCAGAGGAGGAGGACATGCGCCACACACATGGCTGAATTTCGAGGGTGTGGAGGGGCTGTGCTCGCTGACAGACTCACTGCAGCTGAAAGTGAATCTCTCTGCTAAAATAATATGGAAATAGCACTTTCCAGCTGAACATCTCCAACACCTGGCTACATCCATTAATGTTGGCAACGCCTCTGTGGTAGGTTATACAGTGGTAGGTTTATCCCCACTTCAGATGGGAAAGGAGAGAAAGGGTGAGTAATTTGCTCAAGGTTGGACAGGGAATTGCTGGAGATAGTGCTTTGCTCTCCTGCCTTCAAAGGAATTTACTGTCGTGACCAAAGCAAACAGCCCCTGCTGTTGCAAAGCAGGAGCGTGGCATGGCATTAGTGCGTTGTAGCTGAGATGCTGAGTCTGGGAAGGTAGTCCTGCCCTTGCAAACAAACCCACAGTTCTTGAGCGTGGGTCAACCCTTGTCATTGTGCCAGGATGACACAAAGTATAGAAATCATGATAGCAATTCAGGTCATGGTGTAGCGGGGGAAAACTGCTGCCTCAGAAGTGTCCCAGTTTAGTGTCACTGCTAGTGATTATTTAAGCTGCAGGACATGGCAGTCTCAAAGATCAGGTCGTAGCTGATATGAATCATGCCGTGAAATAACGTTTTCCTTCGTACATTGTGAAAGCTGCAGAGGTATGGGAAGTGAGGGAAAATGGGATTTCCCTGGAGGTTAAAGATTTTCCTTTAATCAGCTTTCATAATGTTAATTAAACGTTTGGAACAATGGCTCAGCCCCGGGATCCGCCCGGCGTTACATAACCTCTCACAATACCATTTTCACTTTCATGTTTATTTGCCAGCATGGTTCAAAGTGAGAGCTGAGCCCGACTCCGGCCCCGAGGAGCTCCTTGGGGTTTGTGAACGCTCAACTCCCTCCCTGGCATTTCCTAGAGAGAGAAGATGCAAACTCTCCCCTCCTGAGAAATGCTGCTTTTTTTGCCCAGGACCAGGATTTTGTGGGCTGGCACCCAGCTCCCTGGGCCCGCTCCACGGAGGCAGGGCGCTGGTGGGTGCATTCAAGAAGAGAGCATGGCACAGAGCGCTCACAGCACTTTCTGTCTGTAAAATGGGCATAATAAAAACTAAGCTGCCTTATAAAGGTATTTTGAGATCTATGACTGCTATGTATGAATATATACCCACCCCTGGGGAGAAATGGGTGTGTTTCTAGAGTTTGGTGCATAGGTAAATGTATTCTGGGCGAAAATGATACAGTGCCACCTCTTCCTTGATGGTTTCACTCTTTCTGTGGCATCGTTGGTGTGTGGCAAGGGGAGCCAGCTTTTCTGATTTTTCAAGCCATAGGCTGTCTCCCATTTTGGATGTTCCAGACCAAGTAGAGCAAAGTGCTCAGACCACCTCACCGCGACACGCGGGCACACCTGTGTACATGGATACCGAGCTGCAGGTTGGCTACCTTTGTCCTAAGCCTGGTCTCAAAGTTACGAAAGGCACCTGTTAAAAATAAGGCTTTAAAAAGTTACTGATGTCAGGCAGTACCAGAAAAAAATGAACTCCTTCTATTTTAGGTCAAAATGTTATCTAGCCCAAGATTTTTAAATATGTGCAAAATGCAGTTTCTGCAGCAGGGACATTAATCAGCCCCAGCGGACTGTCTTTCTAGGCTGCAAAGATGAGAGCAAAAAGCTCTGTGCGCAGCGGCAGCCCCGTTTTCACACCGCGCCTGCGGCCGCTCGCTACGCAGGAGGGCACCTGCGCCGGTGCGGGCTCCCGCTTCCCTAGCAACATGTTGACTTCTTTGTGAAAGCTGTTTAAATACCCCAAGCCACTTGCCACGTAAGCTTGAAATGGCAGTTCGCCTGTTGACACAATGCTTT